TGTGTCATATCTGGGATTGTTTGACTCGGCCTAGTGTATTCTAATCATATATATATATATCTATATATATATATATATATATATATATATATATATATGAAATATTTGGGCAATATAAATTTAAAATTTAAAGTATAGGTGTCAAATATATAATTACATAGTAATTTCGTGGTATGTATGTATGCAAATCTTCCTTAATTATTTTAGTATATCATATGCACTTTTAAAATAATAATCCGTATTCGAGATATGCTACACGTACGTATCAAATAAAAAATTAAATATTTAGATTACATTTTATAATAAATAATTAACTTCGCCTAATAATAAAAAAAATAGTGAATTGTATTCCTATAAATATTTATAATATCCCATAAAAAATAGTTTTTTATTTTCAGATGAACCAAGCACAAAAAAAATAAAAATATTAAAATTGTTTTTTAGTTTTTGCAGTTTAGGGAAGAAAACGTTGATGTTGTTGCAATATAATATTGGCCAGATTAGGTCCAGACTCTTCCGCCGGCCCACAAATTTGGTGGAAACTATTTGGTTAGAATGAACAAATGGAATCAGGCCCAAGAACGTTGAACATTGCGGCCATATTGTTTGCTATAATAAACTGATAAGCTTAAGATGAAAGAATGAAAAATTAGATGCACATTTTTCTATGCTTAATTTAAATTATTATATTCACAGAGCTGGCTGAGTATCTCATTCTCCACAATCAAATATGAGACATTCTTTTAATTGGTTTAAGGAAAAAAAGGAAGAAGATATGATATTCCAATTGTGAATGAAAGATAATATGTTAATTATATATATATTGATATAATTATTAAAAAACTTACCATTGGAATCAAAGTCCTCTTGAATAGATTTTCTATTGATTGAATGACTTTCTATAAGATGAAGAATCAACAGTCCAAATATTTTAAAATGAAACACTTCGGCGAAGCTCAGAATTTTTGGCATAAAGATTCTTAGGGACGAGACAATTAGAAAGACTTGACAATCGCAAGAAGTTTATGCTCGGAAGTTGTTAAAGAAATTTGGGGTTGATGACTCGAGAAAGACTGTGAGTTGACCAATTTCATCTCACTTTCAATTAGTTCAGATCAGTGTCCTAAAGATGATAAGGGAAAAAAATGCAATCGGTAGTTCAGTGGACTGTGTGATGTATGTCATTGTTTGTAATAGATTAGACATTGCACAAGCAGTTGGTGTTGTGAGCAGGCTCATGCATGATCCATGAAGGAGTCATTGGTAGGATGTGAAGAACATTCTAAGATATCTGAAGGGTTCAATTGATATTGACTTAGTATTTAAGAGGCAATCATGCAGTGCAGATTTGTGCATAGGCTACACTTATTCAGACAATGCAGGTGATATGGATAGGCGAAAATCTATGAAGAGCAATTGATTCACATTGGTAGGAGGTCCAATCAATTGAAGATCATTTCTTTAGTCGGTTGTTACTTTATCTAATACTGAAGCTGAGTATATGACAATTATAGAGACGATGAAAGAAGTAATATGGATGCAGTTACTATTTGTTTACTTCATTTTTTATCAGAAATCTTTGACGATGTTAAGTGACAGTTAAAGTGTAATATTCTTGGCTACATCTCCAGTTCACCATGCTTGTATCAAGCACATTGATGTAAGATATCACTTTGTTTGGGACTTGATTGAAGAAGACAATGTTCTGTTGAAGAAGATAGATACGAAGAAAAATGCAGCGGACATGCTAACAAAGGTACTATCAATCTAGAAGACCTATTGAATAGGTTTGGTGAATATTCAAGCTCAGGACTGATTGCTCAATCGGGCATTTTGAAGAACTACACGAGAATTGATCCTTTTGGGAGTGGGGGATATGTGGGCAACCATCTTGGTACAACTGATTTGGTGTTGGAGCTGAGTTGATCATCTCTCACTTATCTGGAAGTAAGAGATGAGGTGAAGATTGTTATATTTATGACTTTTATGTAATGTGTATATTATAGTTGATTTGTTTCTTTTTGGGGTATTCCTTATATGGCCTAATCCTCTTATATATATATAGAATATAAGACTAATGTGGGAGGTAAGGTGTTGAGAAGCGTTGAGTTGTAATCCCAAGCTGTTTTTTAGTGGAATCTTCCTCCCCGTGTAAGTAGGTGAATCAATTTAATACCGAACCACGTAAACCTTTGTGTTTGATTATTATTGTGTGAATTTCTACGCTTCCACATTGTTTTCTCATAACAATTTTGATATTCTTAATATCTTTGGAAAGATGACAGAATTCTCTACAATTTTCCTGTAGACTACTTCTGAAGAATTTTTTTGAAAAAATCACAACAATTGCTCAACAAAGAGAGGACAAGTACGTGAGAAAGCAACCATCAATATTTTAATTTTGAGATTTACTCCTCAGAAACGCCTCGAGCCTCATGCCTTGTTTTATAAAAATAGAACATCTCAATACTCAATTCCTCAACTTTAAACCTAGGATCTTTCCTTTTCTTATGCAAATGTGCAGCAATATCTAATGTTTTATATGCTTTTAAATTGAAACCAAATTATTACGGCTTCCCTGCTTGTTTTTTTTGTAAGCCCGAGTCTGTCCTTAATGACATTGCTCTATTCTTAGCATTTGCTAACAACTTCCAACATCAAGATTGTTAATGGCAGAATAAAGAGGACGATAGCTGTAAGCCCAATTTATATAGAATTTTATATATGGAATTGAAGGCCTGCGTGTATTGATTGCTTTTTATTGTCTTTTTTATCTACCCAGACTTTTGAATAGAATCTGCAACAACCGTGAGAAATTTATGTAGCGGGTTTCTTTGATGTAAATTTACATCCATACCACAAAATTGTTAATTCCTGTTTTGCTGATTATATTGTTGTTTTGTAGAGCAATTGAGTATAGATGAGTTCAAGTAATCCAGCATCATCACAAGGAATTATCAATCTAAAAGTTTATTGTTATTGCATTTTATTGTATGTGGTGTATACGTCTTACCATAAGGGGAGCTATGAAAGGAAATTTTACAGTTGCCCGCACAATCGCTCGAAAAATGATTGTAATTGTTTCAGATGAATGGAGAAAGCGACTGACCAAATGATATCAAGGACGTCTTAATCGGATTAGAATTTAGTGACCTGTGTTTATTTTATTACTATAGGGCTGGCTCTAATTACTAATTTGCCAAAAAATTTGAACATTGGCAATTGTTGTGATTTCTTCGTCGAGATTCGTCAGAAGCAGTCATTATAAAAATTGTTTCATCTTTCGAAACATATCAAGAATGTCAAAATCGGACGGGAATTGAATAATATGTGGTGATTTTATTCCTACAGGATGGTTCCAATTCATATTTTGCTATGAAATATGAACGTTTGTAATTTCTGTAATTTGTACGTCTAGATTCATCAGGAGCGGTCAACACGAAAATTGTAGAGAATTTTGTCATCTTTCCAAAGAGATCAAGAACGTCAAAATCGGACTAGATTTGAGCGATGAGCGGAGATTTTATCTTTCCGGAGTGTCTTCCCATTCCTACTTTGCCACAAAATTTGAACATTCACAAATTGCTGCCATTTTTTCCTCGAGATTTGTCAGGAGCAGTCTACAAGAAAGTTGTAGAAAATTCAGTCACCTTTTCAACGATATCATGAACACAATAAATGAATGAGAGTTGAGCGATATGCAATGATTTATCCTTGCTGCATGATTCCCATTTATATTTTATCACGAAATATGGATGTTTGCAAATTCTGCAAGTTGTGCGTAGAGAATTACTTCATCTGTCAACGATGTGAATAACATCAAAATGGGATAAGAATTGAACAATGTATGATTATTTTATTGTAACAGCTAAATTTATATATATATATTATATATATATATATATGTGTGTGTGGTCAAGCCTTTTACTCCTGATTATGTTCACAGAGGCTACCGCAGCAAATAAGCTTGGCGATTGGCTTATTAGCTGACACGTCAGAGCCCACAATGCTAGGCGATTATGTTCATACTAAATTTAATTATATGTGTTACCTATTTTGAAAATTTCGACCTTTTGAGCTTACCTTGTTAGAGGAAATATTACATCAGGACGTAGTTTGTGTTAGGAGTCTAATGGTGGGGCGTCAATTGTTAAGCGGGCCCCACAGTAATACATTGGCCTTGACCAGTATAAAGAATGATGAGACTCACTTAACACGTGGCTTATGTTATTATTTTTCCGCTTGTTAAGCTCCCCTCGTTTATTTGCCTTCCCCCGATTCGTAAGTTATTATTTTGTAAACTAGAAATTAGCTAAGACAGATATTTATTCACTTGTATCTAGGGCTGTCAAAACGGCTCGTTGTTCTCGAATAGCTCGTGTTCGACTCATTAAGAAGCTCGTGTTCGGCTTAATTTTGTTCGATAAGTTAACGAGCCGAGCACGAACTAAGATGTGTTCATTCGTGTTCGACTCGTTTTGGCTCGAAATACTACTCATCAAGTTCATATATTAAGTATTACTTTTAAAAAAAATTAATTGACTACAAGGCTACAAAGATTTATAACCAATTAAAATATTGATTAAGAAAATATAATAAAAATTATTAAATTAGATTCAAATGATGTTTTAATATAAATAATAATTTTTAAATCTTGCTCAAATCCTTTTTGTCTTATGGCTACATGATTAGGGATGTTAAAAGGACTCTTTGTTCGTGAACAGCCCGTGTTCGGCTCGTTAAACAAACGAGCCGAACACGAACACACTTTTTGAGCTCAAAATATAAACGAGCCGAACACGAGCGAGCACTCGTTTACACCCCTACTTGTATCTTGAATCTGCACAAAATTAAATAAATAAATAATAATTTGTATTCACATAAAAAGGAAACCGAAATCATAATTATCCCACTTGGATTTCGACTCCCTCCACCATCGATATATAACCCATCCAATGCAACCAATATACGCACCTCAAGAGCTAACGAACAAACAAGCAATGAAAATATATCCTCTTCATCTTCATCATAAATCAACCGGCTTCCTCCCTCGCCCACCAATCCGGCGCCGAACACGCCTCCCGAAGCCTCGGCCACCACCACCACGACAGAATCCTTCCACGGCGGCGGCGAGAAGCTCGAACTGCCCCAAAGTTGGCGGCGGAGCATTAGAGGCCAAACCGGCCTCGGCTTCGCCGGCAACGGAGAGGAAGGTCTATGAGGATAACTGGTTCGATGGCCTTGCCATCAACTACATGTCAAGTTGCATACAAGCCACTTTAGGTGGAGATCAAATATTCAAGTCATTTAAGTCTAATATTTTTTTATATGGCTTTGTTTCTATTTTATTATGTCATGGTTGAAATAATAATTTATATGTGATTATGAATTTGTAGGGGTGAAGATAAGGAATGGGGAGAATAGGGAAGGGTATGAGGGGTTGGTGGAGGCAGCGACCATGATTTCGAGAAGGCATGGAGCCATGGAGCAGCAGGAGAAAGTTTTGGAAGCACTGAACAGGGCTTTACCAGAGTTTATCTTCTCCATGGCAAGTTCTTCTTTTAGTATATACATAATTGCTATGAATAGTATTAACTAAGCATTAATGTTTCTTTTTTTTGTTAGTTGGTTGGTTGGTTTAGTTGAAAAAATTTCATAAAAATTATTATTACACTTTGAGCTTAATTTCTCTCTGTTTATTGAGCATAAAATTGACAATAATATGCCTGTAATCGAATTTGTAATCTATGTAAGATGCCTAAATTTTCTATAATTTGTTGTTCGCGAACAAACTTTTGTTCAACATATTAAGTAACTCGTGTTCGGCTTATTTTTTAAGCAAATGAGTCAAGCACAAACAATTCTTTTGAGCTTGAAATATAAACTAGCCAAACACGAACAAAGAGTTATTTGTTCGTGTTTGGATCATTTTGGCTTGAAATTAAATTATATATAGAATCAATAAGCTTTATTTCTAAATAATTTAATTGATTGCAAAGCTTAAAAAACTATAATCAAATGAAACAATTAATTAAAAAACATATAATAAAATATAAATTAATATAAATAATAAGATTTAAATCTCGCCGCTGCAATTAACATCCTACTACGACTATAACACTAGGGTCGTCAAAATTGCTTATTGTTTGTGAACAACATATGTTCAGCTCATTAAAGAAACGAGCTGAATACAAATATATTTTTTGAGCTTGATATATAAATGAGCAGAATGAACACGATATTTTTTAAGGCATGAGCTCGCTCTAACTCGACCAATTTAAGCCCACATTATGTGTGTATCAAATATGTGTGTATCAAATTTATGCTAATCCAACCAATCTCCTAAAATAATAATAATAACTGATGTGTGCTAAAGAACTAGAATATTCAGCAAGAGTAGTGGTCAGAAGCAGCTCCAGTCTTCGTCGGACGCACGACCATTAGTCGAAGGTAGCCATGAATCCATGTGAAGATCATAAGGATTCTGATGCTCCTCATGATCTGAAGGGTGCGGTAAAGAGCTAATCCGGCAGCGGAAAGCTTGAAGGTGGAGCGCCTTCGCGAGAGGATGCGGCCGTGTAGATCCATGTATTTTGAGCACTGTAAGATCAGGCTATGGGTTTGTGAATCCATAAATCATGCTGCTGTCTTGAGTGCGGTACTCGGCGTCAGCCTGAGTGGAGATCCTTTGGGGAAGACGACGCTCACTGGACTGCAGCTACCATACCTTTCACACAAACATACATAACATGCCTTACATAACATTGATTTTTCAATATATAAACTTTCAAATAAATTTAATTATTCAAGACAACCTTTTTCCTAAAATAGAACAATTAGTTCATTCATGTTTGGACATATAGACAATGGTGAATGGGGAGGCTGCGCCATCATAAGTTTACATGTATGTGTCGTAAAGTGATTGTTTTGCATCAGGACTCCAATCAAAATCTGTCAGATGTACAGACAGACTTACCTATGTATTAAACAAACTAGCCGAACACGAGATGTTCTCGAACGACGAGCCAGTTTAACATCCCTAATGTTAATATATATAAGTAATATATTATATTAATTATATAACTTATATTATATAAATATATAATATCTATATTAGTATATTACTAATATAATATATTAATATATTATTATTATTAATTTATTATATGTTATAATTTATAAATTTTAATTTTTTAAAATATCATAAATTTTTTATATATAATTATTTTAAATTATTTTATATTTTGAACAATAACGATTCGAACATGAACAAACACATCACTATTTGTGTTTGGTTTGTTTAACTAACCAAACAAAAAAAAAAATTGTTCACATTCGTCTCGTTTAATTATTGAACGAATCGAACACAAACTCATTGACGAACCGAACATGAACTGTTCGCGAACAACAAGTTTTTTTGACAGCCCTAATTGTTTTTCTTATAATATTTGCTTCGAAGTCTTGAAAATTGGATTGAATATGAAACTAGAAAGAAGAGAAGTTAAAATAATTTAAATAACATAATATTTATACAATAATGATATATATATTAAATGATGAATATGATTTTAAAATTTTGGGAGATGTTATTTAGATTATTATCTCTATATATAAAATAATTCCTCTAAACCAATGTTTGTAAATGGAGCAATATCATTAGGATTGAACTCAAATAATAACTAGGCAGGTATTTACATACATATCATTGAATTCATATGCATTTTTATGTCAAATATTTAAATTTTATATTTATTCATTTGCTAACTAGTATCAATTGCTAAATTATAAACTGCCTATCAAACCAATTTTGCATGCATTAAAAAGGTATATTTCATTTTTTTTTTTAAGTTAAAATATTGATATTTTTGTACGTGAAATGAATGATTTGGGTGGTATATTTGTAAAAAAAAAAAATGTAATCTTTCGCCGTTAGATATAAATGCAAATACATAGGAATTAGGTGGTATGTATGTAAAATGCCCCCCTAAAAAAAACTAACAAATTAGTTAAAAACTTTAAAATTCAGATCATATATAAGTTTTCTCAAATACGATATAGCATGATGCATTTAAATATGATAAAACTCGTTCATTTGCTATTTTTATACATCTAAATTCATGCCATTGAATTCTTATTAATTTATATACGTAACATCTACTCTTTTTTTTCATGATTATGACATCTTAATTAATTTATAAATGGAATAATAAATATTGCAGACATTACATGAAATATATATTTTCAGGAATAAATTTTGATGAAATATTATGACTAGAACTCTATAAAAGTAAATATAAATATTTATGTGTTAGATATAAAAATACATTAACTTTAGTGGTATACATGCATGTAAATCCCCTTTTTAAAATGACACTAATCAAGCAAATGGGAGGATGGCAATTTAACATTCTTATGGAGGAATAATTCATCAATTTAGTAGCCCTCCTATATATGACTCTTGAATAAAATTAAGTTGCTAAATAAGAACATCAACACTTTCTTGAAAATGTTTGGAATCTTCCTATTCATGTACATCTACCTCAATTTTTTTGAGTTGATGCCAAGGTTTTTACTACGACTTATCTCAATTACTTGAATAACCTCATAAATAATGAACAATCTTCTTACCATCATGCAACATGTTGTCCTCCTATTCTCATATACGAGGCTTCGACTGTTAATGTTTCACTTGATTCTCCTTTTAATTCATTAACAAATCATATCGAAATCTACCCCCTGCATTTCCTTGGATATGTTTTTGCAAACAACGGCCACAAATGCTACAACCCAATATCATCAACATCTTGACATGTCCATTTTCCCATTTAAGGAATCCAACTAATCATCTTCACATCTTCTCACTTTTATGTTGATCTCTATCTATTATTTCCCTTTTCTTTAAGCAGGAGTGTAAAAATTCAACCCACTTGATAACCCGACCTGAATTAGACAAAAAAAATTAGGGTTTAGTTTAGCCCAATTTCCCTTGAACCAGAACTTGGCGAGTTTGACTTGAATTTGATCTTAACAGTTGTTATGCATTATGAAAATCTAACACTTAGTGTTTTATGAAGATGTAAATTTTGATTGTCAACGAACAACTTAATATTTTGTGTCTTTTGCCTTTATTCTAATCTCTTGATGTGTAGAGAACTAACACATCTAGCACTCTCGGTCCTTATCATAGAAGCCATTGAATTCATTTGTTTTTGTTGATTGCTGAAAAAAAAAAATTGTAAGCACTTTTTGCAACCAATATTTCTTCATTGAGACAATATCTCAGTCAAGACACCCACTATTAAATTCATCTTTAATGCCAACCCTAAACATATAATTATAGCTTATCATTTCATTTAGGATTAAATTAAATTTTATGATGCATGGACATTTCTAATTAAAAATTTAAGCAGTGTCGGATCCGCCACAAACCTAGACACGTGTTGGACACATCCCCAACATACGTGATATAAATAATAGTAAAAAAAGAATATGTGTCTGTCTTTTACGTATGTCTTTTCAAGTGAATTAAAAATTTTTGAAAAATCCTTTTTTAGATAATAAACATATATGATAAATAATCATAATTATAACTAAAAAAGGTTAACTTTTATTTATAAGGGTTAAACTTATATAGAACTATCTTATTATCCATTAAATTGAAAGTTAATGTTAACTAAAATTTTTTTAAAAGCTAATATTATTAAATTTATTCTTTTCTCTTTAATATTATTCATATTATTTTTTCTCAAATTTATTTAATTTTTAAACTAAATGAAGATAAATGAGCTTCCCTTCAATTAATATATATCAGACATCAAAGACACTAATTTACCAACAGTCCTAATAATTACAACTATTTCCGTTCTATTTCCTGATAAACGATGCTTCACTACATATATATATATATATATATATAAAGCATTAAATTTTCTTGAAAAATGCCTAAAACTGACCTAAGCATCTCGAGGCCTTTGAGGCGGCGTTCTTTTTAAAATCTTGCAAACTTCCTCCATTCTGGCAACACCATCAAAATTTTCAAGAGAACTTTTTGCAAGAATTACAACAATCTTTTTCTCCTGGCTTGTCGGCACCTGCGAGGTATATTTGCAAAACTATATAATCTGTTCCTTCTCTATAATGTGGGGGAAAGTTTAGGTCTATTAAATCTTATCTAATATAGTTGTGCTGATCTTTAATTTTGAATAGAAATAAATTAGGAAGTTTTGCACACAGACCACTCAATTCTTATTTATTTACATAATAACCCTTTTTTTTTTTAACATATACTTTTACAATTTTATAGGTGAGGGAGTCAGAAATCCACCGAAAAAGGGAGAAAAACGTGGTCTACATTCGTCACTGCAGGTGCTATCTGCCTCTCATCCGATTCATATATATATATATATATATATCATTATCTTCTCAAAGCTCTTTATGATGAAATCTTCCCCTAACACTGTCATGCCCTTAAAACGTAATTTTTTTTAATTATTTATTTATCACTTCACTTTAGTGCTCATTTACATGCTTGCAGAGATTAAGTAAGATATTTAAGCATTGATACAAATTGGTAAATAAGATTTTAATTGCATAAGTCATGAATCTAGAATTATATATATGGTCAAGCATTAAGAGATTAATTGTAAGTGCTTAATGTGGTTTAGGTTTTTGGAGGCAACAAATTGTGTGGGGATGTGCACTAATCTGTGCAAGTTGCCTTCTCAGAAATTCATTTACAAGTCTCTTGGGATGCCCACCACCATGGTTCCCAGTAAGCTTTCATTTTTCCATTGCATCACCATTTTCTCTCCATAACCTAATAATTGTATCAGAAAGTGCCGCACCGATCACTCACACATGCTACTAATTTTTTTATGTATTTATATGTCTGATTTTTAAAATTTTAATGCCTATATATATATATATATATATATATTAAAATTTAAATAGATTAAAAAAGCTGTCAAAATAGCAAGCATGTAGTTCAGCATGCATGGAAATGAAAGCGACAGGTTCTTCTGTCTTCTAAACGTATCTGCTTTCTACAAACAACCACATTTCAGTAGTAAGAAAAAAGGAAGATTTACAGGCATACCACTTAATTAATTCATATAAATTTACGGATCTAACACCTTGATTTCAATTTTTATGTATATGGCACTTTATCTATGTATGAAACATGTATTTCACTTTCTTAAAATTAAGATAGTACTAATTTATTTTGTCTGATGTGAGAAATTTTAGATGATATAAGTATAAAATGCAAAGTTTTGGTGTTAGATATAAATACTTAAAAAAAATCAAGTATTGTCAACTCAAAATAAATCATTAAAACACTCAAAAGTTAGAATAAAACCAATATGTAACGCAAATGTCTAAGGATGAATTTTTCGTGGCTATTCCTAAATCAAGAAATTTTCTAAAAGATCTATACATTTTCAATATCCTTAAGGTGGGGACTACAATAGGACTTGGGCATCCTGCAATGATCTTTGTTTTTTGTTTAAGGGTTGCAGAAAGTATGAGGGGTTTAGGGTTCTAAACAAAAAGATAAAGCAGAGATGATAATGGAACTGTAGCTAAATTTGATCAGAAACAACCTAATTCCAGAAGAATTAAAGTTCCATTAATGAACAGTAAGATACACTACGTACAGACAATATATATTAGCTATGGTCAAGATCTGGTGAGCTAATCAAGGGGCCACGTACCCATCACTCAGGGTGCATGATGGGATTTACCAGAAACCAAAAATAAATTTTTTTTATCACAATTTCTGAATCAAACTTTCTTACGTTGAAATATTTATAAAAAAGCCCAGCAATTGAACATCATGCACATACACTTATTTCTAAAGAAGAGAAGATAACAGTGAAGAAGCCACCACTAACAAATGTGTGTGGTTAAGAGCTGAAAAGGTCCCACTGCGGCAGCCCAACGGTCTCTTCGATTTGCACTTAAATTATTATTTATGATAAAATCATTGCAGGAAGGGATGTGCACAGTCAAAGATGTTATAATATGTCGCCCACTAGTGAAACATAATTTAATTGTTATGAAGAAAAATTAGGAACGCTTGGTCAACCTTGTTAAGATTTGATGATGTTGAAGGAGAAGGTTAAAGAGCAATGTGGCATAAAAATATTAGGTGTGCCATGTACTTAAGGACCGAGAATAATAGGAGAGCGCATCTGTATGCAGATTCTCATTCCTCACAAACTCTTTCATGTAATTCGTTGTTGGCTGTAGGTGTGTTGCACGCATCCAATACTAAAAAGCTAAATCTTAATTTTATAAATCAGTTAAAGTTTTGTGCATGTACTAAATTTTAAAGTTTAATAACTAGTATTTTTTTAAAGATGATGATATTGAAGAAAAATGCTAAAAAAGTAAGGTGGTATTAAATAGCTCATATGTTAGAGAGGAAATATTATGTTCGGACATCACACATCTATACGTCCTGTCACGGAAGGTCACATTGGCGCAAATTCACGTGTATGTGATCTGACCTCCCATGATTGGACAAACGGACGTAATATTCTTTCCCGTGATAGGAGGATATCTAAGGTCGCCTCCTTACAACAAAAAAAAAAAAAGTAAGAAGAGTTTCACCTTTTGTTTTTTGAATTAGTTTGTAGTTATTTTAAGTTATTTATTTAATTCAAAATTGATTAATTGGATCAGTGTAAAATATTGCAAAAAATATAATAGTAAATACCATTTCATAATTTTTATCACAAAATTTTGGAAAATGCAACAATTTAGAAATCGATAATTTTGAAAAGGAAAAATCTAATCAGCATATAAAATTAATAATTAATAGAAGTTTTTAATCATCATATAAAATTTGTTAGTCAAGTTACTCCACTAAAAATTTGAAACGGTTTTCTTCAAACTATAGATTTAAATTACTTGAAGAAAAGGAGTATTCCATTGATAACTACATATTTTAAGAAGAAAAGTGCTTTTAAGAGAATGAAAGAAAATAAAAAGAAAATCAAGGCAGAAAATAACTAGAATGTTTTGCAAAGACAGTGAGTAAAAGCAAGGGAAAAGAGATCAAAGTGAATGAGTTAGCCTAAAAGTGTAACTATATTATGAAATTACTTCATTTGAAAAGAACAAGGTAGGATGATACGGTTTGCTTTAAGAAAAATATTATTACTGTTTAGAAAACCAACAACCAAAAACTTGATGTGCGTGTCCGTGTGCGTGTCCGTGAATATACATTTATAGCTTTTGTTGAGCTTTGCTTTATCTAAGCCAAAGAAGAATTACAAAAATTACAAGAAGAATTTCTTAAAATAAAATTATAAAGAATATACTACAATACATAACTTTAATTAGAAATTGTATTGGTATGTCAAAATTAATTTAATTTTACATTAAAAATTTTACTTTTCTAAGGATTCGTGATTTATAAAAATTATCTTTATAATCTTGAATTTTGATTAGTCTGTAAATTCATATTGCTCAAACCAGTTTCCTTCAAACAGAACTATAAAAAGAAGAGAGAGGAGAGAGATTTAGCAAGAGAAAATGGCATGTATCCTTTATTTAAAAATTTTGGATGGCTCTTATTATGAATAATTAATACAAGTTTTATATCCTGAATATTATAATTAAATACGTTGAAAAAATGGGAATATTTTAAAAGACAGGCTTAAGATTAAGCATGAATTTAGTGAAATCAAAAGTAATGATTAATATCAATATTATTGTAATACCAAATAAATTCAATGTGTCATAGCTTTATTAATTAATTTATATTGTGCAAAAGAATAGATATATAAATCACCGTCTTAACATATCAAAATAAAGTAGTGTATCAGGATAAAAATGCAATAAAATATTTCATTATAATTTAGAAGGTAGATTTATGAATTTAAAATTCTAGTGTTTTGCATGAATCAATAATCTTGATAACCACTTAATAAAAAAAAAATAAAAAAAATAAAAGAAAACTAACATTTCAATTGTGCCATTCAAATGGATGGATATTAATAAAAAAAGATGAATATATATATATATATATAGTAGTTGAAATATTTGCACGTGATTTTATACTTTATAATATTGTATTATTGCTTGAATAAATAGTTACTAAACATTTTGCATTATTTGATTGTTGTTAGATGAATACTTTGATTCACGGTTGCCGATTGTGACGAAACGAATCGCACAAGGAGGTGTGAGATTGGCCGTCGTTTTGAATCGGGTGCTTGGAGATCAAAAGCTTCATCATATTCCGTCCCCAACCTAAATATATTTTAATTTTCTTTTATTTATTTATTTACAATGACTAATTATTGTACCTAAAATATATATATATATA